CATGTTTCCAGTATGTGGGACACATCGAGCAACCTTTCTCTGCATAAGGGGCACCTGCGCGAGCTTTGGCCTAAGAACAGTTGCCCGTGTGTCAACCGTGTATGGCTTATTCTTAATCGCGTAAGGACGATTCCTTGTTCCCGGCTCAGGTTCTTGGGGGGCCATCTACGAATCGTGCTCGTGACGCGCAAAAGCCTCTCGGACGACCCGGCCCACTGACGCTGCCATCTTTCTTTTATCATGTTCTTTACTTCTAGCTTAGCTCTGGAGGGCCTGGTCGCGATAGTACGGTCTGGAGGGTAGGACGTCCCGGCCTTTGCTGCCTCGTCCGCACGTTCATTACCCTCCAGCCCGACGTGTCCGGGGATCCAGACAACAACCACCATTTTTCCGAAGCGCTTCAATTCGGCGAATTTTTCCATCAACAGCGCGACGAGAGGGTCCACAGAAAACCTGTCTCGCAGGGCCGAAACAGCGCTCAGAGAGTCGGTGCATACGAGGAAGGCATATCCTTCCTCGGTCCGCACCGCCTCGCTAGCGTGCCAGATCGCATACAATTCTGCCGTGTATACGCTTCAATTGGGGGGGAGGGGGCAGCGACGAGAAGGTGGCCACTCCTTTGCTATACACGGCACAGCCCACACCATCGCCAGTGTTGGACCCGTCTGTAAAGACTAGACCAAAACCAGCGTACTTGTTCCTAAGTTCAAGGAACTTAGTCTTATAGAGGTCTGGCGGTGTACACGACTTGGGCAAGTTCGCCAGGTAGTCGCGATCGAGTACGGCAGGAAGGGTCCAGGGAGGTGTCGGTCGGTCGCCCAGCCTAAGCACAGTCTCTAGAGCCAGTCCAGCCCTCCCTAATGCCTCGCCGAAGCGAATCCCGAGGGGTCGCGTCCGCGAGCGAAGCATGCCATAGACGGCTCTGTACGGGCACTCAAGAATCGTCCTTGCTAGAGGATGCCACGGCTTGGCCAGATACCCAGCCGCATAACTGAGGGTGAGCTGCTCTCTCCGTAGTTCGGGAGAGAAAAACATTGTATTGTTAAACGTCTTACTTAGTCGACTCTCAGAATTTTGGCTATTTTGACTTTTCACGTTGTTTTTCTCTGGCGAAATCACAAATATTAGTTTTATATTGTTTACGTGTTTTTATAATTGTAATAATGATATGATTTTTTAATAGGTTGTTATTAGCCCTCGACCCCGGAGACTCTCTTACAAAATTCACAAAATCGACTTTGTTCCAGTAAATTGAAAGTAAAACGTTAGTTCATTTTGTCAATTATTGCTACATTGTTTATATACTTTTACAGTTTTCACGTTTTCTAAGTTTTAGAAGTAGTTTTATATAAAAAAATCGTTCTTATCATTATAATAAATTTATAAATATCTAATTTAGAATTTTTATTCATTTTTCGGATCTTAAGATCTTACTAGTATTATCAGTAAAATTAATGGGAAAAACAGCCTTATTTAAACAGTGGCAAATATGGCAACCACCTCATAATTACTAAGGTAGATAAGAAATAATTTTAACCCCAATTTTTGGACTCCAAACAGAAGTTTTATACAGAAAAAAGTACAAAAAAAACTCATGACACCCAAAATTCTAGCGTAATACGTATAGTTTTCAGTTTTCAAAATGAAACAACTTGGCTCATGAGTGTGGTCGTACTTTCAAGTACACAAATGAAAATATTAATGATTGGCTGGACCTATTTGTAATAAGAAAGTTTAACATTGAAATTGTTTAAATAAGGGTTGATTCTCCAGTTGTTCCCTTCTTTGTGTTCTTGTTTATGTCTTTGAGTTTTTTAAAGCTTCTGCATAAATAGTCAAATCATTTCCGCCTGTTTGAGCTGCAAAAAAACGAATCACCTGATTTTTGCACGAAAAAATGGCCAAATTTGAAAATGTATATTTTCTTAGTCTTTTAAGGCACAGAACTGCGCTAGGTCTCGCTTTTTAAAATTTTTCCCCTTCAGTGATTTTTCAGTAAATTCAAAAATTCGGGAACATGTTAATTTTTGCACTTTTTACGAAAACCTCAAATTGAGGTGGGGAAGAAAGAAATCGTCCTTGGAACGGCGCCCTATAGCCAAAGATAGGAAATTTTAATAAGCTCTCAATTGGCCACCTTCCACTTGGACCGATTTCTCAATCGTTTTCCATTTATTCAGTATTTTTGAGCAAAAAACGGTTTTTTTACGTGTTCAATGAAAAACTTTTAACTCTCTCCCGATTTTTTAGAATGCATACATTTTGAACTGTCATGTTATCGCAAATTTTCCAAAGCACTATTTTTTTTCTTAGGAAGTTTTCAAAAAAAGTGAACAGGAAAACGACAATTCTTACTTTGACCTTTTGGGATGCAGAATGCTTCTCCTATCGATATCCACTTCTTTACCTCATCAAGGAAATTCAAATTTTCCTTCCCATTTCACAGGTGTTTTGGCAGTTTGGCTTCGAATAAGAAACGATAGGTTTATGTATGGTAAAATTGGGTCAGAGAGAGATCGGTTTTTTCAATGAACACCTAAAATACAACGTTGTTTTTACCAACAATCGAGTATAACTGTAAAATGGTCGTGAAATCAGGCAAAGTGGAAAATGATCAATGAAAGCTAATAAAAATGTCCAATTGATGGCTTTAGTGCTTTAGCTCCAGGGCGATTTCTAGGCCTCACAGCACTATTTGAAGTTTTTGTAAAACGTGCAGTCACCTTCCACTTTGCCCGATTTTTCATCGTTTTCGATTTATTCACAATTTTTGGGCAAAAAACGTGTTTTTTACGTGTTCATTGAAAAAACAGTTCCCTTCCGATTTTTGAAAATGCGTACATTTTGAACTGTCATGTTATCGCAAATTTTCCAATACACAACTTTTGTTCTTAGGACATTTAAACAAAAAAAGTGAACAGGAAAACGACAATTCTTACTTTGACCTTTTGGGATGCTCATACTTCTTACCTCATCATGGAAATTCAACTTTTCCTTCGAATTTCACAGGTGTTTTGGCAGTTTGGCTTCGAATAAGATATTGAAACTAAAGGTTTATGTATGGTAAAATCGGGAGAGAGAAAGAGAGAGAGACAGAGAGAGTGAGAGAGAGGGAGTGAGAGAGAGAGAGGTTTTTCAATGAACATGTAAAATTTCACGTTTTTTGACAAAAATCGTGAATAAGTGGAAAATGGTAGAGAAACCTAGCAAAGTGGAAAGGTGATCAATTGAAAGCTAATTAAAATTTCTTAATGATGGTTATAGTGCGCCGCACCAGGGCGATTTCCTGGCCTCACAGCTCATTTTAAAGTTTTACGTAAAGGGTGCAAAAATTAACATGTTCTCGAATTTTGAAATTTACTAATGAATGACTGAAGCGAGGAAAACATTTACAGAGCCATCTTGTTCTGCGCCAAACATTCAAAAATAATGATGTCTAGCCCAGGTATTTCGTTAAAGGCTAAAAAAATATGCATATTCAAAGTTGGCCAATTTTTTCGTTCAAAAACCAGGTGGTCAGTTTTTTTATGAGCAGTGTATCAAAAATAAACTTATGAACGCAAAATGATTGTAGTTTCTACGCTTGTCTAGGGTACATATTTTATTGTTGACTGCTAACTTTTATTGAACTTCTTCTTATATATTTGCCCCAAACTTTTTGTTTCCACTTCATCTGGATCCTGAATTAAAAGTTGATTAAATCGAGAATAAAACTCTTAAATATCAAATTAATATACACCAAGAACCTAACTGAAAAACCGAAAATATTTATGACACAGTGGGAGTGCTATTTGAGAAAATGGGCTGTGGAATGAAAGTTGAACGAATGCCACAAAATGGCGGCAATGGAGACCGTCCGAAGATCGATGTCTTCAAATTTATTAGGTTAGTAAGAAGGAAGATTTGTTTATCAAAGTGAGCATAAATTGACTCTGGACTTTGCGCAATCCATTCGTAAAAAGTCATTACGTTCTGTATCTGCCAAAAGATCGCATACGGATGGCTTTTAAACTTTTATTCACGGCCGACTTTTCGGAAGAAACACCAGTTAAGGAGATAGTGGAGCCAGTGCGATGGCCTGCCGGAAATAAAAATAAGTTTATTCCGACCGCGGTCTCGAATTAAGTTAGCGATTCAAATGGGGAACGATCCCATTGTTTGCCAGTCATGTATGAATTTCATGTCCTTCTGTCATCTCAGAAATATCACCCATTGTTCCCGATAAAACCTACATTTCTAGATGAAAACACCGTTTCAAAGCTTGAAGATTGAAGTTCAGAACTTTTAAACAATACGCGTAAATTCATTAATTTTCGTGTCCGCTTGACCAATTAATATCTTTCAATTAATTAAGGTTTTTAGTTGAGATAAAAAAGTTAGTGTCATAAGCGGGATTCGAACCCACGACCTTCGGCTAGATACGCAGCTGCTCTACCACCTGAGCTATCGTGACCTCGATCCACTCGGACACTAACTTCCCATCTCAAGACACTGATTTTTTTATCTAAACTAAAAACGTTAATTAATTGAAAGATAATAATTGGTGAAGCGGTTCACAAAAAATAGTGAATTTAATAAGTTAAATGAAGTATATCTTTACTAAAGCTCTCCGTGGCCATTTCATTTGTCGCCGAGAATCAAATAGATTACATGACATTGAAAAAAATGGCAAAAAGGAGGGAAAATTCAAAAGGTGGGGTTGAGATGGGAAGTTAGTGTCCGAGTGGATCGAAGTCACGATAGCTCAAGTGGTAGAGCAGCGGCGTATCTAGCCGAAGGTCGTGGGTTTGAATCCCGCTTGTGAAACTGACTTTTTTATCTCAACTAAAAACCTTAATTAATTGAAAAAACACGCGTAAGTTTAATTCTTGTAATAGCACATGGGATAATTTTTGAAAATAGTAACGTGTCTAAGGATGGAATGAGGAAGGTAATCAAAATCAATAAAAATTGCTTTCTTTATTTTTTAAAGTTAATGTTCTTACAATGGAGCACAGAATTTTTTTCTAAAAGCTCTTCTCTTTTTAAGTAGAATATGGCCTAAATCGATCGGGTCAGTTGTCCGAAATACCCGTAAACATTTGTATCTTATAGATTGAGGTAATTGGCGGATAGCCCGGGGTTGTTAAGGTCGCGTTTTAACTTTAACTCCTCACCAAATTTACGTAAGAGAACTCTCCCAAACAAGCCAGAAGAGATTAAAGAGATAGTGGATGGCCTGTCGGAAGTAAAAATCAACAGAGGTGTATTCGGACTACAACCGTGAATTAAGTTAGTGTCGCAAATGAACAACTTCCATTGTACTCCTGTCAGGAATGAACGTTTCATGTCGTCTCAGGGGCATCCGACTCCTGTATCATTCCTGATAAAACCAACATGTCTGGACCGTTCCGAACTTTAGAAACATAAAGTCCCCGGATGCCTCACGTTTATCAATGGACGGCTAAGCTGGAAAGCTCAAATTGGTATACTATGGAACTTTGCAGCTCCATTCACAGCCCATTTATCGAGACAATAAAGAAGGACCACCATTAAAATGGAGTAGTTCCGCGACGCTATAATAGAGTCGATGGGGTCTTCCTCCGCCACCACTTGTAGCTTCGGCCGACAATAAAACTCAACAAGTGCCCCAGACCACTCTTGGGAAAGGCACTTCGCCAAGGCCAAAATTGGTAAAATACACCGTCGGGGGAAAAACGCTCGGGCGGCGCTGGACGGCGTTTCGATCGATTCGGTCCGAAATAAAGCGCGTGAGCCTCGTTTTTGGCGGAGAGGGGGATATTTTGATTCCGGGGGTTGGCAGCAGTGAACCCCTGGCTCGTTCAACTCTCCAGTCCAACCCCGGGCCTTATGTAACAAGTGCGTCTAACCCCCGGCAGACCCACCCCCAACAACAAGCTACACTCTGTGGAAATATCGTGCTTTTGAGTTATCGCTCTTTCTAGTTTTTCACCATTATTTTCTTTAGTAAACAGTTGAGTTTTGTTTATTACGCAATTTCGAGTTTAGTTTTGGTTTTTAACGGGCCCACTTTTTATTGAACTAAAAATGATGCTTCAGAAAACAGCATTGTGAATTCCAAGGTAAATCAATAATCAAACACAAAAAACAAATGTAATACTGACATTCTTCAAATTTTATAAATTTTATGTACCCAACGTCGTTCTTTTATATCTGCATTGTGGAAAATACGAGTACACTTAATAACTCGTTTAATTTTTCGACTTAAATTTAGCAAATAAAAAAATATACGTGATTAAAAGTAAAATATGTGTGAAACAATACTACTTAGTTTTACTATGAAAATATTTTTCTGATTTATTTAGAAAGTATAAAAATCACACTCAATGCTTATGCTCCATTTCAACACTTGTGCCATAGTCATAAACTTTTATTTATGCATGGCGGCTTAATTGAACAATCTTTGGTTTAAAAAAAATTTATACAGATAAATAACAGTCTAGCATTGTTTACGGCATAAGTACAAAAAGAAAGTCCTCATAAGTGATGAAAGTCTTGCTTATACTTTTTAATTCAGCCAAGAAAATAAACTTAACAAATATGAAGAAAAAATATTGTTTATACATCCTATAAGGTTCATAAATTATTATTTTTCAATAAAGAACGTTTTACGATTCTTTCGTAATATTTTTCTTCATCTTCAGCAAATAAAATATTTTACGTAAACATCGTTATTTAATAATTTTTTGAACTTTTTTATCTGATTACGCAACAAACCATCATAGTTCAAAACGTTTCAGTAAAAGAAGTACTGTATTTTATAATGTACACTTTTCCGAGTGATCAAGACTGTCTAGATGCCGTTTGTGTCTGGCAGGGTTGTTTTGGCGATTCGCCATCTTCAGTAGTGTTTTTGTTTGTTCACAAACGTACAATAAAACAAACCGAAACCGCAATACCTACTCTAAATGGCGAATGTCGAGTCAAATCTGCCTGACCAAAACAGCGAGTTGAGGCGGACCAGAAAAATTACGACCGACTCTCCTAAATAAATCTCACAAAAAAAATCTTTATTGTTAATCCAAGAAAATAATTATTCGCTGAAAAATAAATTCAAAATAAAATATCTAGTAAGACCCTTTACACACTAATCTTGAATTATTTTGAAGATTGATTTAAAAACATTTTTATAGTATTAGACACTATTTACTTAAACTTTTATATTTCCTTTATTCTCTTTAATTTTAATTAAATAATTTTTTTGTGGATTACTCAGTACGTTCAATTGAAAAAATTTTGTTTCATTATATTTTTTTAATTATCATCCATTTTTATAAACAAATTAGCTTCAATAATAAATTTTGTTGCAAAAGAGGAAGTAATAAGAGAAAGTAAGTAAAGAAAGAGTAAATGCATTGGCAGTTCTATAAAAGAGCTAAAATATGTTAAATTTTAAACTTGTTTACCGAAGTAGCGACCGTTTTTCGGATCAAAAGCACGGTTGTTTTCCCATTTATTTTTTTAATAACCCTTCTGCAAGAGAAGTTAATTTTAATACTCATTTCCTTTTTAAGAGAATCTTTACATTCAGGTTAAGTATGAAATTGTATGATTTCAGCGTATTTCCAAAGTTTTTCTAGGTCAATTAGTTGTACTAAAATTAGCCAAAAGGTCGCCATTTTTTCTGCACCATTTAATTCAGTTAGATCTTTTACACTCAATCGTGTTTTCTTCTATATTTTATATTATATTACGAATTTTTAACCTCGGATTTTTAAAAATAGTTAATTGTTATTTCTGCCAACAAACTAAATTTGTCAAAAAATATCACCTAAATTTTTATACAAACAAATATAAATTTCTCCACTCCTGAAAGCTTTTTTTAAAAACATTGATCGGTATGATTTTCTGCTTTTTATATTACCTATAAATCACAACAAAAATCGTTTGAAAGTACGTTTTCACGAAAGGGGATTTTCTGATCGAGCTCGCATTTTGCCCGTTAACCAAAAATTTACACCACACAAACCTTTTTTTATAATAGAAAATTGGATGACGACATAATAGTTTGGAAAGTTATTTTTCAGAACATACATGAAATTCTTCGAATATGTGCAGTTCATCAAGGCAATTTTCGAAAAATTATTTGAAACAATTCTAATGCTCAAATCTCAACGGACCAGTTTCATTCTGTTCTAAAACGTTTTAATTTATTAAAATAAAACAATTTTTTTTAAACTTTTAAGTCAAAATGTAACAGACTTTTACCCAAGGTAGATACGTTTGAAATTATTATAATTCTCAGAATGTACGCAAAGCAAAATTCCCACTGAGTGAGTCGTCATGGTGAATGACAAAACAGCATCTATCACTCAGAAAATTATATGAGGCTATTCTGATGGTAATGCTTTTTGAATTTGGTCAAAATTGATCCTAGATTTACGACTTGTACGTTACTTTTCATCAGACGTAACGTGAGAAGTTTAAATAAATTCTACATTTACAAAAATCTGTTCTTAATAAAAATGTAAGTTTTGTGATTCATATATTATTTAGGTTAACTTCAAATTTGCTAACTGTTAATGTTTAATTAAAGTAGAAATGTCGTAAACTACACTGGGAGTCAAAAAATTAACCACCTTCGTTTTTTTTAGTACGTGCATTCGTCATCATTTTTATTTTTTGTTGTTTACCGGATTTTTTAAAGAAATATATAAGATACTGCTAAAAAAAAAATAAACTGGGTAAAATAATTTTATAAAACATGTTGGTGTGGAAACATCAAAGAAAATAGTCTATTCAGTACGGAGTATTTTATATATTTATAAAATTGTGGTCAAAGAAATTGCATCACTTATTTTTTGTTAAGTTTTAATCCTAAACGATGATTTAATTCAAAGGTATTCTTTATGTTTACTTATAAGGATTAGAGTAAAGTCAAATAAAGACACTTGGTTTGGTTTTAACCACTGAGACGTATAAAACAATTTTATTTTCTCAAAATGTTGAATTATAAGCAGCATTCTGTAACTGAAAAAAACGCGAAATGTAACACTAGCTGAGGTGGGCTTTTCTTTAAGAGAACTAACGAAAAGGGTAAAGTGGTAAGAAAATGTTTTCTTAGGATAGCCTAGAGAGGAAAAAAGGTACTGGTAGGAAAAGAAAAACAAATGAGAGATTGGACCGGATTTTTTTTGCCTTATGATCTTGCATATTAGCCATGGTACGAATTCTTGTGTGTTCAAATTGGGGGTTATCGGGAAAAAAGGGCCAGAGGCGACGGTGGGAATCGAACCCACGACCGCGGCGTGAGAGTCTCTCATGCTAACCACTCGGCTACCGCGGTCCCCGAGATTGGACCGGATGTTGATAAAAGATCGATTCAAAACTGCCGAGGAAATATCAACAGATCTAGCAGATAGGAATTTAATTAGTATAAGTAGAGAAACTGTCGGCCGACGGTTGAGAGAAAGGAGATTATGGGAAAAAACCAGCCAAAAAACATTTCTCAATAAAAAGATGAAAGAATCACGTCTAAATTGGGCGAAACAGTATGAACAGTGGACATCAGAAGACGGGAGAAAAGTGATGTTTTCTGATGAAAGGAAATTTAACATTTTTGGCTCTGATGGAACTTCTTATGTAAGACGGCATTCACACGAAAAATTTCATGAATCCTGCACCTTGAAAACAGTAAAACATGGGCAAGTTTAATGATCTGAAAATGTTTTTCCTACTTTGGGCTTGGCCAGAATAATGTTTCAGATGGCTCTGTTAATGCAGAAAAATACATAAAAATTTTGGAAGAGAGTTTAATCCCTCACAGAGAAACAACTGTGATGACTTCATTTTTCAAGATAATTCTGCTCCATGTCACAGAGCAAACTCTGGAAGTACTCTTAATAATTGGTTTTAAAAATGTAACCGTATTTGTGCTTTGTACTGTTTATTTTCTTTATGCTTATGTTTTTGTGTTGGTAATTCAGTTTTTAACGGAAAATGGGATCTCAGCATTGCCATGGCCAGATAACAGTCCCGATTTAAACCCCATCGAGAACTTGTGGATGATCATGAAGAAAAAAATTAATGCAGCCAAGCCTAAAACGAAAGATGAGCTGAAGCAAACGATTAAAAATACATGGAATCAAGAGATCAGTGACGAAATCATCAAAAATTTGGTTGAGTCGATGCCAAAAAGAATTGCGCCAGTGACAAAGGCCAACGGTGGATCCACAAAATATTAGAATTTGTCTAACACGTTTTTGATGATGGTTTTGCATTTCACAACATCTGTTAAAACCATCAGAATTGATAAAAAACAATGTGCCGTTTTGGAAAAATCTAGATTTTTTATTAAGTGATGCAATTTCTTTGACCACGGCCATATATATATATAAACAAAACTGCAACTTATCCGCTTATCCGAAAACAAGATTTTAGTACAATCTTGGTCAGACCAATTGATGTGATTTCTTGGGAAACTTAACCCATCTGTGCCTTGTCAGAAGTTCTGGACAAGCGGAATGCTTACTATGTAATCCAGCTGCTGAATTTTTTTTCCAGTGCATAAACTGATATTAACACTTCTTGCTTTTTTAAGTCGTTGCTTGATTTCAACAGAGGTAGAATGTCGATTACGGAGTTAATTCGAAACAATAAAAGATCACTTTGAGTTGTGACAGGTTGGCGACTTGATTTTTATTTGAGTAACCTCCAGTGTCTTCGTAGCAATGGAAGACCCTTCGGACAGTTGGCCTGGGAATGTTAAGCACCCTGGTCAAATAAGCTTGACTTCTTCACCACTCAAACAAATTTGCAACTTAAAAATGATACAACTTAAAAAAATCAAACTACCGGTACCTTCGAAAGCATCTTTACAGAAAAACCGACAAAGAAATTCACTGTTCAAAGATTTATTTACAAAATTCAATTGTGAACACAAGTGGGAGATTTTATCTTTGTTTTATTTACCTCCAATCCTTTCAAAAGGACCAAATATTGTCGTAAGATATTCAATAAAAGATGGTTTAAGATATAATTAAGATATTAAAGGTGGCCACTTTTTGCCTTTCAATTTTACTACGTTTAGACTTATCTCTTCTGGTTGAGTAACTGGCAAAGA